ATGAGACATAGGCTGACAGTTGTTTCTATAATGGCCTCGACTTGGCTGCGTCAAACTAGGCCAAACCGGAAGCTTGGACTCTTCTCGGATCAATTACTCGCGTGTGATGATGCGAGAGCCTCGTTCACAGATTGAGTGCAGCCTCGACTTGAAGCCAAGACACTGCTACATGCTGTTTTTATGTAACATGCGGCTTTTTTATGCTATGACATTTTATAAAACTGGGATTGGTGATAGTTTGAAGTATATCTTGAACAACCTCTATTTTTGAATGACACAGCGCCCCTAGCTTCTTCTATACAGTTTATTCTACATTCAGTAAAACTGCAGACAGTCAAGTGTAACCTCGTGCTATAAAAGCACCTGTAAGATTGCAAACATTGGCAGATTTTCTGCAATATTGATTTTTAATCACTTTTGGTGTATCCTGATAATCTGTGGTTCTTGAAGATACTCCTGAAGAACATGCATTTGCTGAATTTGAATGAAAAAACGGATGGAATCTGAAGGAAACCTCTAAATGAAGAAGGTAGCCGGATATGTTACATCTAATTTTTCATTTTCCTTTGCACTTAAAACTTTTTTTCATTTTGGAAAAACTTTATATCTGATTTTGGCATTATGACAACACATTACACTTCAAACAGCCATTGATACTGATTCTGCATGGCACCAGTCTGTAGTTTCGACTAGGTTTGCAAGTTCTTATGTGCATTCCTATAAAATATCATTCCGTTAATACTATGCTTCTGTAAAGAGCAAACTGACAAAAATGTTCATAAACTATTACATCAAACACGGAAAACTAATTATTATGTATATTTGAAATTATATCTATTTACATTTATTACTTATAACTATAACATCTTCAAATACGGTATCTTGCAAACAGCGCAGTTTCATGATGTCACATACACTGCTAGAACGAGAAAGGTGCATTACCTGGTGACATGGCAATTATGAGGTATGTAAAATGTCAGGGCATTAGCGCGACGATAATATGATATGCCTAGACTCGTCAGAAATTCACATGCCATGACCAATGACATTTTTGACATTTTCTCGGCAAATTAATTTATCTATTTGATCAGCGAAATGACATAAATGCCCTCCCAATAGTCTCAGGCTGGAGAACAGATTTGACATCAGCGCCAACATGATACACTTAGCTCGAGCCGAGATTAAATATAGATTTCAGAATATCTGAAGTTTTAACTTTACACTCCAAATAAAGTCAAATTAAAACGCAAATGCAAAAGAATACCGGGTCTTGATTATCCTTATCTATTCGGAGTGAACGTCAAAATTGCCGTGAAAATCATTCGCTGAACCTGTCCTTTCTTACTCTTTTGGTGTTGTTGATACATATCCATAGTCAAGGTATTAACAATAGATCCCACCAGGGTTTCTCAGCCCTATATATAGGAAGAAGAAGAAGTTTATTCAGTATTTGAGGCCACATGGCCAAGAGTACAAACATAAAGAACAATATTGTGCGGATGGACAGACAAAAACAATGTAATTAGTTCATTTTCATACAGGCAAGTTACGCTTTAGAAATAATGCTATTGACTGCAATAGATGTGCATTTGTTGTTGTTAAAAGTTGTTTAAATTTTAATCTTGATGGGAACGTATGGTAATAACTAGGTAAGTACAGTTTTCTTTGTACAGAATAGAATGGACACACAAGTAAAAAATGAAATTCATCCTGTGTAACATTAAAATCACATTTGTCACATATCAATACATTGGAATTTATATTATTATTATAACGTTGTTGTTGAACATTTAACTTATGGCTTATATATTATATTGTGCACCTTTGCACACATATATTTTTTTCTGATGATGGCCTTCTGAAGCATGTCACCGTTTTCTTAAACGAGCCAACGATGTAAGACATTATCTCAACGACAATGTTGATTCTGTTGATGACGGTAGAGAAATGAGCGTCAACCAAGCAAAACGCAATATAAAAAACGGCCAACAAACGCCATTTTGTCGTTTTTACAGAGCCCGTGTACTCATTAAATTGTCTGTCCGTTTTGACACTAATGTGATTGACAGATTGGATGAGAAACATTGCAAATATGCGGACCTCGCTCAGAAAACGTTACGCGTGCATTCCAAGTATCAACTCCCTAGCATTTTCGGTGAGTTACGTTCGGTACTTCCCAATCTGTTGACGGACATTGGAAGAGTGCCCCATCTGCTGCCAGGAACATAGCTCCTCTGGACCCTGATCAGATGCAGAATGATGAAGAGTTGGGGAGTCTTCGAAAGGGGTTTTGGTGGGTTCGACTAGGCATCTCTTCCCGAAAGAAATCTTATTCGTTCAGTAGGGTAGGTGTAGAAGAGACAAGGGCCATGGGCGGATGAGCCCACGCAGCCTGACTGTGCCAGGATTACCCGATCCCACTGATACATACTACCGGGTACCCATTCGCTGCTGGTCGAACAGGGGCATATTTGGAACACAGCCACTTGCTCAATGAGACACAACCTATAACGAATATGTTGGAGCCCTAGAAACGGGAAGAGATTAAACTACTTGAATTTATTAAACCCGACATTCTTATAACCCTTGGGATCTACATTTAAACCTTTAATGAATTTCCTTAGCTAAACAAGTACGCCATGCAAGCCAATGTAGTGCACGGACATAAATGTGATTTCATTTTGCTAAATAGATTCATATTTAGTAGAAGCATTCTGATAGACGAATGATTAGAAATGGTCAACTAATCTGTCGTCAATTATGTTAGTGGGGCTCTTAATTCAAGCCAAAGAAACATTTGCGTCACTCGACGAGTGTCCAATTCATTTGTAGACATTTGACGAGTATCTAATGGCGAGATGCACGAGAAATAACTATCAACAGCCCCGATACATGTTAGATACCATCAATGGCGAGAAACACCTGCATATGTGATGAAAACAGTTGTTCAATCAGGAGAAGCAATGCTGGTTAGAGCTGTGGCACATTACCAATTCAAATATGGAGATCGTTGTCAATCTAGCCATCGCCCTGTTCCTACGTGTGGCAATTGGGTCTATGACCCTATCAGACTCACTGCACACTGTTGACGTAAACTAGTTAACCACGTGTCATAACCAAATCAAACCAGCCTAACGTGGATTTAGTTGTCCGCAGAGTGGATAGCATGGTCAAATGGCTTAAAGTTTGTGGCATGTTCACTTACAACATCTTTTAGATCGTCGGCGTGTGATTGAACTGGCATAAAGACTTAAGCCGATGGGACTTTAGGTGTTTACAAAGGAGTGAAACGATCGGGTAATGGTCAGAGTAGATTATGACTGAAGGTAATAATATTATATCAAGTCCGCGGCTCCTTAACCAACTCGAAATGGATTTTAACAACGTGAGATGTTTATCTGTGAAGCATCTTCACGTAGCATTATACGACGTTGGTATAAGTAGCAATTCTTCTGTTGTAATAGTTCATGTTGCAGGTTGCAGTTCTAACATATAAAAAGTTTTCACGGTTCTTTAGCAGAACACTATGATTACCTTGCAAGTGTAAAATTGTATTTCCATTTTACAGGCAATGGCATGATAATATTTTAACATTTGAAATCGATCAATCTGTTTTCAGATTAAATTTTTCAAAACACAATAGAATTTCGTAATTTTGATGGGTTCAAAGTACAGGTCAAGCAATGGCACATACAGCTAAAGTCCAAAAGGGGCAATTTTAGAACTGCTTGTTTTTCGATGTACTTGTCGCGAACACCTGGTGTTCACTGTCACATTTACCGTATTCATTTTGCCCTTTACACCCAGTAGAACCGCAGTATGTATTAAACGTCCAACGTCAAAGCCGGAAAATGGGCAGCTTCCATTGGGTGTAAAATAGCAAACACACCAGTGAAGATTTCATGAATGTATCGCCTCAAATCAGTGGTGACACCAGGTGTTTGCGAAAAGAATAAGCACGTTCTGCCATACAGGAAGCACCTGCAAACATACGCACTCTTTCTGTGAGTGTGTGTGTGTATGTATGCACATTATACACATATTTATACACACAAAGAATGATGAAATATAATTGTTTCTTCCATCTCTTTACTTAGAGAGGAAAAATTTAACATCATCTGGGTTATCAATAAAATGCAGGTCAAATATTTCTCCAGGAAAAGAAAACTGGAACATTATGTACTCTCTTGTGTTTGTCCAAAATGTATAACACAGACTGTGCATATAAAGTTTAACTCATAGTATGTCCAAATAATTATGTTCCTCTCATTAAATTAACTAAAACATACAAAATGGATATTGTGCACATGTCCCTTGAGATTAGATCTCCAAAAAATGTTATTTCTTGCTGCAAGAGTTCCTCAACACTGTTGACAGCTAGAGTTGATTCGATAGTCAGGCGAGCCCTTTATGTGAGCTGCAACAATTGTGTGGAGGAATCGATAAACGAAGACGAGAACAGATCGCACATCTTCACTGCACACACGCGCATGCATTTGGTCTCTGTCCGTGTCCTACACGCGCATTGTGAAGTATAAACACACACGGACCATTGCAGGCAGCTGGTGAAAGGACACTTGCTAGGAGGTGATCCCTGCTACACACATATTCAAACACACATTATCTCACTCACGAATGTAAAATAAGATACATGGCGTATTCAACACAAACACGTGCATGACGCTGCAATACACGCAGACACACATCAGACACGGAAACAACGCCGTGTCTGAGACAAGGTGTCACATGTTCAGTCACACATTATTTCACAGACTGTTGACACATATTTCAGATGTCATTTGAACCAGTGTTCACTAACATGAATATGGAGTATCTAAGATGCTCAAGCTCACATACATCATGACACGAGGATCACACATTGCCCACAAGTTCAAATTTTATTCAAAACATAAATGTCTACAATCAGATATCTGATCTACAAATACGTATGTCCATTCAGGAGAGTGATATCTTTAACAATAAAGGATAAACTAACTCACCTTCTGCTAACCACGTCTCCTGCATTTGACTCAAGTCGGCAAAAAGTTCTGAAAGACCATACAAATATTCATTAACTCATTAGATATTCATAGACGTGTGTCCTTGAGTCATTACCGCTTCACGACAAGGAGTGTGAAAATATAGGCAAACCATAAACATATCTCACATATATGTATATATATAATCCAAAAGACGTGTTTATACATTTTCGAAAGTTTATTTCATATTCCAGAAACTCCCCCCTTTGGAGAGAACATGTCGCTACTTTTTAGTGCAGTTGAGAAGGCTCTTTTTAATAAAACCGTCGAACGAACCCTGCTCAGAACCTTTGGATAAGGATTCAGCAATAAAGGCACCATCAGTGTTTTCATAATAGACATGTATGTTTTAGGTGGAAAAGTGCCTTGCCTGTGCATGTGTTTGTGACTAGTGCAGTCGGTGGGGCTGGATACGCTAGATTACCTGGTATCATCACTATTTGACGGTGATGGAAAAATACATGGATGATACAGTTGGAATCGTTCTACTGATTCTGCTGAAATTGCATATAATCATAGAAAACGTTTGTCTGCCTCTTTCTTTCCCTGTATAAAACGACATCATTGTGTTAGAGGCTGTGTCCCAATGTACCCATTGTGTTAGAGGCTGTGGCCCAATGTACCCATTGTGTTAGAGGCTGTGGCCCAATGTACACATAGTCAAGTTAATATCTCATTCCATCTTTCTATTTTGTGTATTTAGACATTTAAAGGCACAATTCAATTTTATTATTTATGAATGTATATTACGATACCATATATATTTAAAAGGTTTGATTGTTTGTTTGTTGTGTATATGATGTGTTTTGTTTCTCTGACTTAAACATGAATGGTTACCTGGGATTAGGCTCAGATACTTGTAACAAATGTAAATTGTGAGAACTTAAAATGATGCTGTTTGTTGTATTTTATTTATTTTTGCATGGTGCACGGAGGTAAGGGGGATGCTGGAACGCAGCTTGGCTGCATGAACCTTCATCATTAGAAGCCATACTATGGCTGAAGGGGTCGTTGTCGGCACGGGTACTACTACAGATATGTATACAGAAACGTACCCTGGCCATAATGAGAATACAGAAACCGACTCTAGGACGATTCCATTCCCATTGTGTCGTATTCTTGACCGGAACTGTCATACTGTTGTATTAGATACATTTGATTGCGTTATGTAAGTAATGAGAATACACAGTAACGGATATTTCGCGATGCACATGAATACCACTCGGAATCAGTTGAACGGGAACAACTACATACTATGATGCACGCCGCCTCTCAGTATAGATTGAGCGGACTACGTCTGTTACGACTTTGAAGAACACTGTCCTGAAAGCGAGACAATGCCACCCGTGTTAATCACCCAGCTGAAGGAAGTGCGTGACGACGTTGAAATGAAAAGTTATGATCATATGAGGCAAACAGCGTGGAGAGCAATCATACACTTGGAAGCAGGTTTTCCTCATGCATATTTGATAAGATAAGCTTAACCTCAGAAACAAGCATTTTGGGTCTCTGCTTTGGCCTGAATATATAATGAACCAGCCTTAACCTCTTTATTATAGCCAATCTGATCATTTTCCCGCCTTTGGTCATTCCTGGATTAATTACAAAGCGCCATTTTGAATTAAGATCTCGCCTGTCCGCGAGAGCTCATGTTTCAAATCTCGCACCACGGGCGAGAAGACAATCTCGTCTGCTCGCAAGTTGCGGGTCATGCGCACGTGCTAAGACGTCACTGGGTGGTGAGAAATATGGATAGAGTTGCTGGCATGGCAAAGGGACTTTTGAAATATTACACAATTAAGTGGCAAAGAGTGACTGAAAATGCACACACACCGTGTTGAGATAGGACGCGGACGGATCTCCCGTAGAGTTGTATGAACACTTGGGCCTAGCGCAGCCCACAGTAATTGCTACCATCAATAAAACATTCTCATGTAAAATTCAACACGTCTAAATTGAAACCTGGAGCGAGGTAATGTCCAAGTGTCGCAGTATGAATGGGTTTTTGTCGTCACCCGCACTTCATTTGGGAATTTCCAGAACAGCAACCGCACTATTTTGTTTATGGGTGATTATTTGCGGAAGGATATGTTTCATATTTCGGTCAACCTCCTTATCCCGTCAGCTTTAAATGCATGTATAACAGTTTACTCGACTGTTCAAATAAGACTATGGTATCCCTGCGCGACAACAGTTCTGGTTGTTATTTTTTTTATAATAGCAATCAACTTTTTGTTAAGTCTCAAGTTATTTTGATGTCTGCAAATTTAAAACTCTGCATGCTATCAATGGTGTATAGTACGTATTTTTGTAAAGTTCAAACAAACAGAAAACTATACGACGAATCTTGAAGCTCTGACATTTATAGAAAAAAATGGACAACGGAGCAGTATAAAGGAACACTGTTTTGTTCTTCTGTTTATTACACAAATACACCGTATGTACGTATTTTTACGTACTTCTGGACGCAGGATATTTGCTCGAGGTTTAATCAAAATGTTGTTCAAAACAATGTTAATATTATATTGTCAGAGATACTAGGTAAGTGGTAATTGTAATGGTAACAGGAATATTGGTTAGGGTAGTGGCGGAATACAAGAGGTTGTTGAAGTTGCAGAAGTATGAGTCGTAATAGTTGCCTCAGCTGAAGAAACAGAGAAGTAGCATCAGCAGTAGTAGAGGAGGATGTCAGAAGCAATTGTAGTATCAGCAGCAGTAGTAGTAGTAGCAGTAGCAGTAGCAGTGGTAGCAGTAGTAGTGGTAGAAGTAGTAGAAGCTGTAGTAGTAGTAGTAGTTGTAGTAGTAATAGTAGCAGCAGCAGCAGTAGTAGTAGTAGCAGTAGTAATTTAGTCGTGGTGGAAGTAGTAGCAGCTGTAGTAGAAATAGTAGCACCAGTAGGAGTAGGAGTATCTATCTGTCTGTCTGTCTGTCTGTCTGTCTGTCTGTCTGTCTGTCTGTCTGTCTGTTTGTTTGTTTGTTTGTTTGTTTGCCTGTGCTTGTATGAGTGATAGATACATAGTTGTACATTTGTCAAAGGAGACTGTAGGTGAAAAACGGCCCTGTTTCCCTGTCTTAAGTCAGCACGTTTCGCGGACTCTTAGAGACAGTGACTTGTTTACCCTTGTAATGTAATTTGACACGTTGTGACATGGTTGCCGTACCTGTGACGGGAAACTGAATGCCCACAAGAAGGTGGATGCATATCTTCATCTTAATGACATGTACAAGTCTCTGAACACTTTAACTAAACGTCCGGGTAAAAGAAAGCATAGAATTAAAAATCGGACCAAAAAACATTCAAGCATTATCAAAACGTAACCCGACCAAACAAATAGTGCAAACAAAAGTTCAAAAGCTCACAAACTTTTCTATGATACGAGATTCATATAGATCACCATCGAAACATATTTTTCTTTGTGTTTCAGCTTTAAGCACCGTCCAAAACACGGGTGTACACTTTTGCCCAACAGTTAAAGGTTTGCTCTTGAGAGACATTGAGAAATTCCCTGTTGACCACCCATTACTGACAGACAGCAGCTCAGATGGAAGAACGATGGATGGATATCTAGATATCAAAGGGTAGATAATGATGTATAAATAGAATGACTGAACTTGATATTAAATATCATGGGTGGGGGCTGGAGGTAGGGTGGTAATACCAACTTCAGACTTTTGACGTTTTGTAGTGTTGACGTTTATCAGAAACAGGATCCAGTGGACGTAAGAGACCAAATAGTCATGGAAATACTGTGAAAGCATCAGCGAAACGTGAGTGATGTGTCTGGAAGTCATCAAAACTCATAAGCATGCTAATTGTTGTCACGTCTAATTCATATTAGTTATACAAAGAATACTTTAAAAGACAATATATATATGTAAGCTTGTTTTCAAAGTCACCTCAAACCATTTCAGTACAATACAACAAGGACAGAAATGCCACAAAATAAGCATTTAACACAAGCTGGATCCTGACACAACAGCGACACAAGCTGGATCCTGACACAACAGCGACACAAGCGTCTCACGCCATCACTATTTCTGTACCAGCTATCTTCTCCCTAGTCAACTCAACAACCCACCTATGGATGTGGATGTATTTACATTTACCCGGGTCAAAACGGCTTATGTTCCTAAGCTATAAAGAGACCTTTTGATTCCCTATCCTTTCATGTAAGGATATCAGACCCTTGGTGTGCACTTTTTAGTTAGCGTGTTCCTGAAGGTAGGTGGGTCAGTGTTCATGACGTTACCATTGCCTACACAGAAACCATATACTTCGGTGTTCAGAAATACACATCGCAAATATGAATGGATGGTATACTGTAACAAGCCCGTAATTATAACTTTGTATAGCTTGAAGATTAAATGACCAAGAATTGCAAAATATTTCAGCACAAGATCCTAAAAGTGTAATTGGAATTATAATTATTGTTGAAACTTTTGTTTGTTTGTGTGAGGTTTTGGTTTATAGTTTTTTAGTTTTTGGTTTATGTTTATATATTATGTGTGTATTCATTTAGTTTTTATTTATTTTAATATATATCTGATGAAAAAAAAATCATCTATTTTAAGTTTTGGATCTGGTTCTAGGATGGAGTGGACATGTGTTTTCGTGAACACTTGACATCATCACTATTTGATTATGATTCGTAACCACATGTTCATGATGCTGATGGAACTGTACAATAGACTCATTTGTTTTCGGTATCTCATGATTATGTAACCGCCATATAGCTGGAATATTGCTGAGTGTGGCGTAAAACTAAACTCACTCATTGATATGTAAAGGGTTTAGTCGTCTTTGTCTTAATGAGTTTATGTCACAGTTAGATTAGTTAAACATACAATGCTAAATCAAACAAATCATATAACACAAACATAAACCAAATATACTATTGTTACTGCACAAAACATATTCAATCACCATTTTAATATAACTTTTAGTTTCGATTCTATAACTAATTTTAGTCCAGTGTGCTAGATAACACAAGTTACAAAATGCATCACAAATGTGAAATATTGCCCAAACACAAAACTTCAATGTGTTATTTAATCATGAGGAAAGTTTAAATTCCATTTTAAAATGTGTAAATTCTTTCAATACTTCTACATGATTCATTGCAATTAAAATCAATTAAACCAACATTATCGAAGATCTAAACACATTTCACAATTTGCTCAATTTTCATCGACCCACCACCAAGGTTAAACCGCATTGTCTCCAAACTTGGTCAACAACACACGTAAAAACATCACGTCTCTAATTTGTAAGTAGAGCACGGCTCCTCGGTTTAACCTCAAGGTATGGAAGGTGCGTTGATTATATTGGAACTTAGCTGAAATGTGTCATTGTTGCATGGGGACATGTCAAAAGCAACGACGTCACTGGCCTATATTCGGCCCCTCGAAACATAAAGCTGACATGGGACATTTAGTGCCTGCTTCCAATAGAATGTTAGATTTGTATAGCTTGACGTACTTTAACTTTAACTCATGCCAGATAGCTAACAATCGGCAACCTTTTCAATATTTTGATTTATTTCTTGTACATCTTATTTATTAAATAGGTGAGTCAGAGTTGTAACAGCGTATGTCTATGTAGCGGTTGTTGTCGCAGTCAACGTTGGTATCCCTGTGTGAGAGAAATGTTATTTGTTCTTCATATATAACTCATGATACATCAGAGGTAGTTAAAGGGCGAGGAAAAACCTTACAAACACACAAATGACAGCAATTGGAAAGGAAAATAATGAATTTCAAAGAAAGGGTTCCTAAAACAACAAACCCCTGCCAAAGCAAACCGAGTCACATTCCCAGCCCCACTACACCCAATATGTGGGACGGGTTCCAAGGTTCCTAACCCACAAACCAACATCATAAGCTGTATCCGGACAGAAACTGTGGAAACCCCCCAAGATGGTGGCCCGACCCTCACGCTTGAACCCAAGGCCTTGGGATAGACTTATCACTTCCTTGTTACAACAAGCACGTGGAGCCACAGGTTGTTCCTCGTTGGACAGACTAGTCTCTAGGGGGTGGGGTTGTTAATACCCACGGTAATGTTCATTAATGACTAAACACCCAAATCTTCTCATCTTCCGATCTTCCCTTATTGACGTACATGCAGATGTATAGTTATCTATGTTCCTTTAGATAACGATGTCTGACGCTCAATGCAGTAATATATGTATACCTTGTATGGCCGGCTGACGATACATCATTACTTCATGAATGAAGCTGTATATCCTTCCTTGCTCAAAGAAGTCATGACGAGGCTTATGCAATGTGTCTGTGAAGCTGTGTTAAGTCGTTTAAGTTATAATACTCTTGTGTTTTTAGCCCATATTTCAAGTCAAAGAGTTACACAAACAGTGATCCCTGTGAAGTGGTAGTGTAACACGAGAAACCTTGTCAATAATCCAACGATAAAAGTCGTTTTAGGTGTCCCGGTAGAATTGTCAAATTCTTTGACCATTCTGTTCATTTCTCTCACAACATTGACAGATAGCATATAGTTTTAAAAACAAGACAGGGATTTTAAGAGATAATCCTACTGTAGCAATGTTTCAATTTCTTGCTTTCTTTTTTTTATATTTTAATTTAAAGTGAGTTAGCTAGGTGAGGTGGAATGCATTTATATATCGACGTGTGTGTATGTATGTGCGTGCGTGCGTGCGTGTGTGTGTGTGTGTGTGTGCGTCTCTCTCTCTCTCTCTCTCTCTCTCTCTCTCTGTGTGTGCGCGCGCGTGTGTGTAAAAGTCGGGACTAGTGGCGGTTTTATAGTGGTAGCTCACATAGTTTAAATAAATGATACCCGACTCAATGTTTTGGTATGACGTCCCTGGGGGTCGAACCACCGACTTTTGGGGGCTCTCCAGGTAGACACTCTATCTACAAGACCACGGAGGCAGTCTGGTAGTTTAACCAATAGTTCAGCCATCCGAAAAAATCACTGGAGCATAACCTAATGCAAGTCCCAGGACCATAACTGTGTGTTCGTAACGACAGCAGATCCTGGCCCGACCAAGGGACGTAACCGCTTTCCCACACCTGTCCTCGTGACTCACAGCGGTTTTTATTTCAGATTGTTTTTGGCATTTGGGTTGTTTAAGTTAAAGATATATTTTAGATATATGTATATGTATATTTATGTATATGTATATATATGTATATATGTATACATGGATGTATATGTATATACGTATATTACGTACCTTCTGAATCGTGTATTAGTTCTGGATCCGGGTTCTTCCGCTTGAGGCTCTCGCTCATGTCATGGGGACTAGCTGTGTCTCTGTCAGAACTACTGTCCTTCATCGGTTAACCTGTGTTGTATACAATAAAAACACTGTAGCAATTTAACTGTAGCAATTTATCGGTTAACATGTAGTACTTCTGACACCTTGTGTGTTATTTCATCGGTTAACGTGTAGTATTACTGGCACCATATATGTCGAGATATCGGTTAACATGAAGTGAGTGAGTGAGTTGTGTTTTACGCCGCACTCAGCAATAGTCCAGCTTTATGGCGGCGGTCTGTAAATAATCGAGTCTGGACCAGACAATCCAGTGATCAACAGCATGGGCATCGATCTGCGCAATTGGGAACCGATGACATGTGTCAACCAAGTCAGCGAGCCCGACCACCCGATCCCGTTAGTCGCCTCATACGACAAGCATGGGTTACTGAAGATCAATATTCTAACCCGGACCTTCACGGGCCTTAACATGTAGTGCTTCTCTGACACCTTGTGTGTTATTTCATCGGTTAACGTGTAGTATTACTGACACCTTATATGTCGAGATATCGGTTGACATGTAGTACTTCTGACACCTTGTGTGTTATTAGATCGGCTAGCGTGTAGTAATGACACCTTATATGTCGAGATATCGGTTAACATGTAGTACTTCTGACACCTTGTGTGTTATTAGATCGGCTAGCGTGTAGTAATGACACCTTATATGTCGAGATATCGGTTAACATGTAGTACTTCTGACACCTTGTGTGTTATTAGATCGGCTAACGTGTAGTAATGACACCTTATATGTCGAGATAACCATACAAATGACGTTATACCTGACACTATGTTATGACCAGACATCGGTTAACATGTAGATCTAACTTATTATACTGACACATCTAAACATGTAATATATAATCTATTTTGTCACATAATCAGTTAAGATGTAAAGATTTATTGTATCGAGCTACCAGTTAACATGTGGTATACACAGCCACTGACCTATGACCAAATATAAGCAAGGTTTACGTGTATTCACTGACATATATCACTCTTTGGCATGCGCTTCATTTATGACGACAACATTTAACAGCCTTCCTGTTGAAAGAGAATACCGTGTAATTTGCACATATTTGAATAACAAACTTCAGATAACCCTGTGAAATATGTAACGTCTTGTGTCGGCTACATCCGTGTTGTCCCCCAAACACAACCCCAAACAACCATCACGATGTATACATCATCTGTATAACTTGAAGTTGATTCAAACCATCACTTAAGAATAAGTAAACTCATCAAATCGGTTTATGTAAGGAAATAGCTCTGATACCTAACTGAAGCAGTACGTTTATGAAACTCTAATCTGGCATTGCTTACTTCTTGAGTTGAGAGCAGTAAAATTCTAGGAACTCTAATTTGTCCATTCGCCAGTCACACAAAAGGTAAATTATATTTCTCCCCCTGCCAAATTCTACTTGTCATCAGCAATATATATCGTTCACTGACCAATACATCCTCAGTTGAATAACGTTGTAGTATTTGATTCATGGTTGAACGTCCCCCTTTTGTAGTTGAGTTATTAAGTAAAAACGAAGTTTTGGCTCCTTAGTGCATCTAAAACAGTAATGCACATGACAACTGCACACAAAATGCACCACAAATATATAATCGCGTATGGTGAGGTTTGTCTTCGTGTAATTAACGACATTTCGAGCAGCCGTACGTGATGTACATCTCACATGAAGAGTTCTTCCATAAAGAGGTCTTGACATACAAATCATGTGCGCACACATTATCCAACTTCCGGCTTGGTGCTAAACAACTTCCGGAGGATTGACAACCCAAATTACCAGTCTCTCATTGACTTGGAGAGTACCGTCACGTGACCTGTCCTAGAGACGGTGATCTGGCGGCGCTGAATTAATTCCCTTCGACTGGACTATTTACGAACGCATCCAATGCTGCCAAACATTTCTTATAATCCATAAATCCCCGATGTGTAAGTGTAAAAACAGCAATGGTGTCCTGAAAAGTAGGCCTTCGGTATGTGTATAACTGTACTGTGGAACCCTATCAAGGAATAGTGGCACTCGTCTCTGCTGGTAAAAGCCAAGCACATAGGTCAGATCTTTTGAAAGAAAGTTGAAGTTAGTGAGTTCCTTTCTTATGAGTCTTTAGGGTATGTTTCCACAACTTCTGAAGAAAAGTAATATTTTATTCCGATTTAAAAATATGACTCCTTTCTAAATATATTCATGTTATATCTCTAAACGTACCTACTACTTCAAGAAGGGTATATATAACACGGTCATTGTGTTGCTGCCAAACTGAAAAAGGTGGCAAAACATGTGTTACTAAGTGTTAATGAACATTCATGTTAGTTTTGAGTTCATAACATCAGGCTGGTCGTGAATCCACCAAGGCTCAGGCTGTAACCGACCAGTGGTCGAAAGTGTGAGCACCGATGTACCGACTCCCATGTCACATCTTGTTGCGATTGTGAAGTTGGTAATTCAAGTCGATCCCACATCCCGGTTGCAATCACACGCTTTAATTACATGACAACCAATCCCCATTTCATTCGTCTCACAGGTAGCTAAACGCCTATTTGCCAATAGGAGATGAGACAAGGATTTCAAGTCTTCAAATGTTCGACAGAGAGAAGTAATATACACGTGATGTGCGAAGGTGAGTAAAGGTTGCAGTTTAACGTGTAATCAGCACTATCTCAGTCTCATAGCGTGGAAACCAGTTTAAGATTATAGACGTCCTGCAATCTATGCTTGTGGTGGTGTGTGGTGCTGTGCATAGAGCAACACTGAGCGCGGAGAGTCGTTGGATGGGTGACCGTGTTTGGTAACTTGACTCCTGAGAAGTTCTAGGACTTCAGTCCTGCCCCACAACTAAGCACATATGATACATGTGGTGTCACCTAGGCCTGTGAGTTTGGTCACAGTTGCCTCTGTTCACCCAGCAGAAAATGGGTACCTCGGTGGGATAGGTCATGGGACTATTGACCTTCTAGCGCCTCACAGGCAGCTTGGGTTATCCGGGTAATAATAATCAGATTCTGATTTCAGCGTCCAGTGAGCAACTAGTCAGATGGATACTAGTCGCTATATAAATGAATTATCATTATAATTATTATTATTGTCTTAAGCAACAACTAAATGGATCGGAGGTTCAGGTGCCCTGACTAAATGCCTGTCTCCGTATACAACTGAGGAGATTGATGCTCATGATGTCGGTCATTGTGTTGCAAGGTACAGACAATATTTATCATATTGCTGAACAGTTGCGTCGTTAAGCAACAAACACATTCATATGACGACATAAAGGTCGCCATGTGAACCATCATTCGAGATAAAGAGAACAGACTGCGCTATTTTTCCAGATAACTTGTACACTGATGCTCCCTAGTCTGGCAGATAACGCAGACCAGGTCATCACCTTGTTGACAAACCGCAGACTGCTGGTTCAACGCTAGTTTACCCAGTAACCTTGGTTCTCGTAGAATGCCCTCATAGAGATTCAGCACTGAATGCATTAGCATAGTAACCAGTTGACAATTCCACATGGGAAAAACGCGCTCACGCGTGTATCATTCTGTCTTAAAGGTGCTTGAATTTCCATGTGTCGCTCTTCACTATCGTTGAGTAAGGTTAAAAGGAATATATTTTGAATAATATTTCTGAAATCCTATTTTGTTTATAATATATAAAACTAAATAGTTGATATTAATATTAGTGTTATATCGTGTAAAAAGGGATCGTAAAATATAAATATAATTTTCCATAAACTATAAACCGAAATAAACTCTCTATAGTGTTAATGCAACTAATATGTGAATAATGCATACAGAAAAAGTATTTTCAGAAAAGAATACATTTACATTCCATATAGTTTTTTCCTATGGTCTATCTGACAGGACAGCTTTAACTGGCTTAACTTTGGCCTTGCATTTGCATTGATTTCTTCCAATTTCAACCTCAATTCCCCGATGAAAGAGCCACATATGCGGTTCCCTTTGCACTTCTTTATACATAAAGCACTTACAGCGCCATCAATAATGGTACCCAGTTTCAAAATCATATTCTATTTCAGTGTATGTACAAGCTGCCCGGTTATTCTTAGCACATACTACAGGTGCGGTATTACAGAACAGGAATACATTAGAACTGGTTTCCCAATGTAAGTAAAGATCTATGTCTACGATCAATGATGCACTTACACATACAAGAACAATAGAGATAGGCCGAACGTAGGTTCAACCAGGGACAGAACAAGCTGTCATGGTTTCAGTGTGAGGGTTTGGGACAGCGGTTCCCATGGCGGGTGTCCGAGTAAGGGTGTGTGAGTTAGGAGTGCAGAGTGAGAGGTTCATAGTGCAGAGTGGGGAGTGAGAGGTTCAGAGTGAGGTTTGAGAATGAGAGAGTCAGAGTGAGGTTTGAGAGAGAGAGGTTCAGAGTGAGAGGTTTGGGACAGCGTTTCCGATGGCGGGTGTCCGAGTAAGGGTGTGTGAGTTAGGAGTGCAGAGTGAGAGGTTCATAGTGCAGAGTGAGGAGTGAGAGGTTCAGAGTGAGGTTTGAGAGAGAGAGAGTCAGAGTGAGGTTTGAGAGTGAAGGAACCAGAGTGAGAGAGTGAGAGGTTCAGAGTGAGAGGTTTGAGAGCGAGAGAGTCAGAGTGAGGTTTGAGAATGAGAAAGTCAGAGTGAGGTTTGAGAATGAGAGAGTCAGAGTGAGGTTTGAGAGCTAGAGGTTCAGAGTGAGGGGTTTGAGAGTGAGAGGTTCAGGATGAGGGGTTTGAGTTTGTGGAGTTGAGAGTGAAGGGTTTGCGTTTGAGGGGTTGAGAGTGAGGGGGTTGAGTTTGAAGTGTTGACGGTGACTGGTTAAAGGTGAGTAAGAAGTTCATAGTGAGGGGTTTGAAAGTGAGGGGTTTGAGAGTGAAAGGGTCAGAGTGAGGGAGTGAGAGGTTCAGAGTAAGGGGTTTGAGAGTTAAGGGGTCAGATTGAGGGAGTGAGAGATTCAGAGTGAGGGGTTTGTGAGTGAAGGGGTCAGAGTGAGGGAGTGAGAGTGAGAGGTTCA